AGCACTTAGAGAATGTGGTGTTCTTTAGCCTGAGTGGGAGACCTCAGCACTACTTGGAGAATGTGGTGTTCATCTGGCAAAAGCAAATCAGAAAACCAAAGAATTCAATTTGATGAATCCATTTTCTTAAATCAGAGATCTCTGGAGACAATAGATGCCCTACCCTTAAACTTACCCACAAATAAATAAAACACAGACAGCCTTAATTTCTTGCTCTAGATATGGACTATTTTGCAGATTGCTGATGCTGATAATGGGAGTCAAAGTGGTTTCCAGGGCCATCTGACATTAAAAATTGTATGTATATATATGTATGTGTGGTGTGTGTGTCACAGTGCACATGTGGAGGTCAGAGGACAACTTGGTAGAGTTGGTTCTCTCCTACCTTTGTAAGGTTTGAGGGATGGAACTCAGGTTGCCAGGTCTGCATGCCAAGGGCCTGTTGCTGACCTCCTTGCTAATGCTTCAATCAGTTACATTTGGTGATTTAATCTATACTGATGTTTTCAACTTTGAGAATTTAATGATATATATTGAATATATTTAACCCTCCCATTGCTTCCAACCAAATTTTGACACTACCTCCTTTTTTTTTTAAACCTTCTTTCCCTATCAGGTCCACTTTGGGTTGCTCAGCTAGTTTTACTGTTGAGGTCTGCTCTGGTGTGTGGTCACACTATCAAGGTCATCATCATTAAACAATGACCTGAATCTGCTTTTACTGGAAATCATTAAATGCTAACAGCTCCCCAGCTGGTAGGGGGTTTACATATTCACTGTCATGCCCACTAGGCTGGAATTTTGTTTGGCTGAAGCTTGTGTAAATCTTATGCACACTGTCACAATCACTGTGAGTTCATACGTACTTCTGTCTGAAAAACAATTTCCTTTAAATTATCCACCACCTTTGGCTCTTACAATCTTTCTGTCCCCTCCTCCACAAAGATCCCCGAGCCTTGAGATAATATATGAACGTACAATTTGGGGCTAAATACTATATAGCCTTTTGTTCTCTGCACACTGAGCAGCTGGAGGTCAGTAGCAGTTTTCGAAAGAGTCTTACTGTGAGGCCCAAGCTGGTCTCAAACCCTTGACTATTTTTCCTCAGCCCCCAGAGAACTAGTTTATAGGTGTGTATAAACCTATAAACTTCATGGCCAGCATCCAATATATTTTTGTATGAACCCTTCGCTAGAGTCTTTAAAGACATTTGCTCAACTATGTTCATAGTTTTTCATAATACTTATTCATAATAGCCAGAATCTGGAAACAACCTAGATGCCCCTCAGCCAAGGAATGGATAAAGAAATTGTGTTACATTTACACAATGGAATACTACTCAGCAATTAAAAACAAGGAAATCATGAAATTTGCAGGCAAACGGATGGAACTAGAAAAGATCATCTTGAGTGAGGTAACCCAGAAGCAGAAAGACATACATGGTATATACTTACTTATAAGCAGATATTAGCCATATAATATAGGATAAACATACTAATACTTATAGTATTAGAGAAGCTAAACAACATTGAGGACCCTGGGTAAGATGATCAATCCTCATTCAGAGGGGCAAACGGGATAGACATCAGAATCAGGAGAAGAGAGGGAACAGGACAGGAGCCTACCACAGAGGGCCTCTGAAAGACTCTACCCAGAAGGGTATCAAAGCAGATACTGAGTCTCATGGCCAAACCTTGGGCAGAGTACAGGGAATTTTATGGAAGAAGACCTAGAGGGGATAGGAGCTCCACAAGGAGAGCAACAGAGCCAAAAAAATCTGGACTCAGAGGGTCCTGCAGAGACTGGTGAATCAACCAAGGACAATGCATAGAGAGGACCTACATGCCCTGCTCAGATGAAGCCCATCAGCAGCTCAGTCTTTATGGGGGTTCTCTAGTAAGAGGAGCAGGGGCAGTCACTGACATGACCTCCGTTGCCTGCTCTTTGATTACCCCCCCTGGCCAGGTGGCCTTACTAGGCCACAGAGAAAGAGGATCCAGCCAGTCTTGATGAGACCTAATAGGCTAGGATCAGACAGTAGGGGAGGAGGACCTCCCCTATCAGTGGACTGGAGGAAGGTCATTGAGGGGGAAAAAGGGAGGGAGGGCAGGACCCGGAGGAGATGAGGAAGGGGGCTACAGCTGAGATTCAAAGTGAATACATTGTAATTAATAATAATAATGAAAAACTTTTAAAAAACAAGCAAGCAAGCAAACAAACAAAAACAAAGGCTTATGATGTGACTGAAATCTAAGAAACGATCTTTGTTAAATCCCGGCTCCAATAAACATGAAAAGACACTTTTAAAACAGAGAAATGCTGGGCTGAAGAGATGATGGCTCAGCTGCTTTTCCAAAGGACCTAAATTCAATTCCCTGTACCTACACAGCAGCTCACAACCACCAACGACAGGGACAGGGGATCCAATACCCTTTTCTGGCATATGAGCACTAAATACACATGTGGTGCACAGGCACATATGTAGGTAAAGCACTCATACACACAGAATAAGTTAATATTAAAAAATAAAAAATAGGCAGGTGTGGTGGCATACGCCTGTGATCTCAGCACTCAGGGAGGCAGAGGCAGAGGCAGAAAGATCTTTGTGAGTTCAAGGCCAACCTGGTCTACAAAGTGAATCCAGGACAGCCAAGGCTATACAGAGAAACCCTGTCTCAAACAAACAAACAAACAAACAAACAAATTAAACACAGGGAAATTTAAATATATGTTAATTTATAAAAATTGCATTTATTCAGGCTTCTGCAGGACCAGAAAGCACCTTGAAATGGGCCACTGGCTCCACCGGGATCTGAGAGCACTGTGCAACTAACTAACCTCCAGGCCCGGTGGTCTCAGGGTTCAGTGAGTGGCCTGAGGTCCAGTGTGCTCACAGTCCCCTGAGAAACTGGGGCTTTGGCTTCAGTGGTCTTTAACATTAGTGTGGGTATGAGATTTTGAATTCTGAGGTTATAGTAGTCACTGCAGGGGTCTATACTACTCTGGCCCCCAGAGGTTACATGGAGCCTACAGCTTTAGTCACAGCCTCCAGACAGAACCAGACTTCAGTGGGTCTGACATTAGCTATTGGGGTGCCCAGATGATTCACAGAATTCAGGCAATCCCCCACACCCATACTAATATATATAACAATTTATTCATTATATATCCCTATTGAAGGCCCTTCCCTTAACTCCTCTCAGTTCCACCTTCCCTCCCTCTTCCCCACCCCCTTCCCCTTCCCCTAGTCCACTGAAATGGTGAACTCGGTGGCTTGCTCTTTGATCACTTGCCCCTGGTGATGTGGCTTTGCCAGGCCACAGAGGATGATGATCCAGGCAGTCCTGTTGATACTTGGTAAGTTATGGGCAGATGGCAGAGGAGGAGAACCCACACTAATCTTAAAGACCACTGATATTCTGAATCTTCTGGCTGCCTTGGTTCTTTGTGTGCTGATCCTCCCTTAGTCCCGTTGGTACAGAACTATGATGAGATTACCTCAGCGACTACACTTAACACTTAATTTCTCCATTCCACGGAGCTTAATTTCATGCAGACAAGCCTGTTGGAAGAATCACAGAAAACACAACAGAATAAACTCCAAAGGGGAGGAAGTCAAAACTAAAAGTCAAACATACTAAGACATGCACACAACACAGAAAGACAAAGGTGCAACACAGACACCTTTAGCCAACTCCCTAGTGAAGACAGACGGACGTCTAAGAAAGAATTCAGAGTCTTAATAATGACCATATAGATGATTCAAACAGATGGGCAAGTTAAGGAGAGCACTTAGTGCTCTAGACTTCAACAACACAATCTCAAAATTTAACAGTAAATTGGAGGTAAAGTCCAAAACATAAAGGAAAAATTTGGCAAAAAGATTGAAAACTTAAAAAAATTGGAAATACCTTAAGTAAATAAGATGGTCAATCAAATAAAAAGCACAACAGATTATCACCATGGACAGACAAGAACAAGTGAAAAAATAAGTTTCAGAGATGGAGGACAAAGCTGAGAAAATAATACAAACATATGTATTATGGTGATAGGTACATAAAATGTAATTGGTAGTAAAAGTTTAAAATACTAAGTGAACCTTAGAGTCAGAAAAACTATCCTAACTGCATTAAAGTTCACTGAGATGTATAGTGTTTAGACTGCACAAGTGTTTAGGTAGGTACACTAACGTAACTACATGATGATTTTATTTTTGAGTTTATTACAATGACTTTTTTTGAGAGAGGGTATCACTATATAGCTCTGGTTGTCCTAGAACTCACAATATAGACCAAGCTGGCCTCAAACTCGCTGATCCACCTGCCTCTGCCTCCTGAGACTAAAAGTGCTACTGGGACTAAAGGTATGTACTACACTCCTGGCCCAATGAAGTGATTTTTAAATTAATTAATTTACCCATTGCTGGTATACATTTGGTCACATGTGCCACTTGGCATGTATGTGGAGGTCACAGGAATTTGTGGGAGGTTGCTCTCTTCTTTCATGTGAGGTCCTGGGACCAAACACAGACTCATCAACAAGCGCCTTTACCTGAGGAGCTCTTGCTACACAATGTTAATTTAATGGTAAAAACAGACACACTAACTAACTAACAAAACATGGTATGTGAAAGTCTTTTTAAAATATTCTAGAAAACTATTAAAGGATAAATTAAAGATTTTTTTAAATCTAGCATTAGGAGCATCCTGCCCAATTCTGCTGCTGCTGCTCTGTTTGGACACCTCAGTCTTAAGTCCCAAGTGAGTCACCTTATTCGTCAGACAATCTGGTTCTGGCTGTTTCTGTGCCAGCCTCCATTT